TGCTTGTACATTTTAAATTACTATAATTAATTAGTAAGTTGAATACAAAAAGAAAATTAAAAAAACGTAAATATTATTCGACGAAAACTGACGAATGCAAAGTGACTCATAAATTATAACATAGATATAAGGCCGTGTTACGCAACCGATTTGTACCCCCAAAAATTGTACGATATATATAATAAGACTACCTCACAAAATTAAATGAATACTAATTTTTATTCAAATTAATAATTTTATGATTGTGCACTATACACGAGCAGCAACGATATAATGTGAATTTAAAAGTTGTCGTCAAGTGCCTTTATTTCTGATAAACCAGTAGGCATGATTGATATTATTTTAGATTAAAATGCTTGGATTTTGTTAACATTTTTATTGTCTTTGAAGCTGCACATATCTAAATTGCAGGTGATGAATAACATACGAGAGAAGGTAGAACATAGATGAAAACTGTTGAATTATTTGGCGAGGGAACGGAAGGGTTGTAATAAAAAACTTAAAATACCTATACACAATATAAAATAAATTTTATCGCATGACTCGAAAAACATTGCTACAATGCCTCAATTGAAAAATATTAAAAATTCTTTAGCACCAACAGATCACAACAATTTGCCGATTATTTTGTGCTTATGAATTCATAAAATATTAAATTTAAATACCCATAGCTTGGAAATGTAATTCAAAGTTCCTCATCGTAAATCAAAATGTTAAAAATATCAAAAAGATATGTGCACAGTTTTATTTATTGATGAGCGGTCGAAGTGCTAATTGCGTATCTCCTACTATCAGATGTGAGACTTGGTTGTTTTATAATTTATTAAAAAAAAAAAACACATACTGAATCATGTCAAAAGTGTTACTGATGGAACATGTACGTATTTTACCACTCTTTCACGGCCATAGTATTAAAAATACATTATACCTATACAACCTACAAACATTTATATACTAATCGTAAATAAATTAATAGGTCATGTACTCATGAAAAAAAGAAGAAAATATTCTACACCATATTTTTCATTGGGCATTTTGGACTATAACGATCCATCGAACAAATTGTTTCAATCATTTTTTAACTCGTATTTAAGATAGCTTAAATGACTTTCAACGGGGCCGAAACCTCCTAAGCCTCCCTCTCCAATTTACCCCCAATGATGTACACGCCTCATGCGAAGCAGCACCCAGTCAATACATTCCTGGCATTCCTCCCGATTCATAATAAACAGTGTGTCGGTAAAAGAGAGAGAGAGAGTATCTACATAATACTATAATTGAACATGAAAAATATATATCGCACATTTTAATATTATAATCTTTCAACGGACGTCTTGTATTTTTTTTTGCACAAGTTTTCTAACTATGCGCTGTAAAATGTTTTTTTACCCACAATCAATTAGTTATTTTACATACACACATATATCCTTGCGCATATATTCTTATACCTATGTACACGTGCGTACATAACATTTATGCGTTCGAGTTGTTATTGCACCAATACACTGCACTTGTCGATGACATCTACTGCAGCAGTAACGTCGTAACGAAAACGCGTTAATACCTATATACATTCAGACTGACATGAATATAATATAATGATATACACATATGTTATATGTTGTGCCCACCGTAAGAATACGTGCACCTATATACATGTATTCGTACATATCACATTTTAATACTTGATCCACATAGGTATACACGCGTGATCGACGTTCGGTGGCCGGTTATAGGTGTATATAGGTAGCCGCAGACTTAGGTACTTATGATTTCATTTTTTTTGCCGATTTCGATTAATCGATATCGCAATTTCCGTTCGATTAAACATTGTTTTTCTGTACAGTTTTTAATACATATAATATTATATAGGTACACGTCGAGTTTATTCCTCCGAATCACACCTATAACGTTGCAAATTAAACACACGCACACACGTTCAATAATTAATACAGTTAATAATATTACGATATTATACAGCGTGTCTTGAATACTGTCGACTGCATTCGGCGATACGATTGATTTGTCCCGACTGTGCAAGTATATTCGGTTTCATACCGTCGCGCTAAAATGTGAAAAAAAATCACATACACGTGAGATGAAAATGTTAAATACAGACGATCCCCATAGGGTGTGCGTCGTAACCATAATAGGCTCGATTCGCACAATAATACTACACGGATGAGTTGCCATTGATACAGGCGCCGAATACCCACCCGCAATCGCATAAATGGCTAAAATATATTATGTGAAAAAGTATGGACGCATGACTGTTATAACAGACGCTGGCTGCAGTGGCGTGTACGTGAAAAGGCGCACGTCGGACTTGTGACTTGGACATGTGCAAGTATAATAATAATTACTGCACAGGCCGTGGAGAGAAGATTGCCATGAATCATTTTTCGTGTTCACGGGGCACGGCGGGAACGATCGAAAAGTTTGTACCTCCATCGGTATATTTATATATTATACATAAATAATATATGTAATGCGTCAATCATTGTAAAGTTTCCTTTTTCGAGGGTTTATAAGAGAGATTAGATTGAAATATAGATTATAATATACTTAAATCAGGTATAGTGTATGTAATTTGTAAAGTGATAGTGTAATAATATATACCGTGCAGCATGAGTGTATAATACAGGCGATTCTTTTATCAAAGAACACTCGTTATTTTAAAAACACCATCAACGTTTATGATAATATTTTTTTTACATAGGCGGGTAATTTTGAAACGTTACAAAATAACGTTTTTGAAAAAAAAATGATATATTTTTAATATTTTTTAGTATTTTTGTTTTTTTGAATATTTTTTATTTCGTAATCCAAAATATAATTTTCCTGAATACATTTCGAGATAATAATATAAAAAAAAATTTCGGACTAGTAGTTTATTAGGTATACATATTTGCATTTTTATGGTCGGACTAGTAGAATGGTATAGCTATAAGGGTACAAATAAAACAAATACTAGTCTAAATGTTTCGTTTTCTTAAATGTTTTATGTAAAACAAACTTTAAGAAAGTGGGTAAGCGGATAGCGCTCTGTTGTACATTAGCTGATGTACAGAGAGTCACTGTAATGGTTGGTGTTAAATTTGAGTTCAATAATATGAAGTCATTGTACCTATACGAAAAACGATTCTGAGAGAATACGGTCTGTCAGCTTATAATATTACTATATAAGTAGGTTTATTTTATGAAATTATTGTGATTAATATAGTTTATTTTACTATTATGCGTTAGTACTACAGTAGGTTTAATTTTGTCGAAAAAATTGCATTTGAAAATATAATTTTCTATATGTCTGTGTAAAATTTAATAATATAATATATTTAAAAGTTTTAAGTACCAACGAAAAGTATTTTTAAATTACAATAAAATAAATAGAATCGCTATTCTATTAGTTTAAATATAAAAAAAACTGTATTTATTTATTTTTTGGATTTTTTGATTACAAAATGAACTACTTCTTAAATTCTCAATCTTTAGCTATAAAAATCGTTTGATACATTTTTAACTATAAAATAATTTGTACATTTTCAATTTCATATATATTTTGCCAAAATTTGAACTTTGAAATGGTTATAAAACAAAATTTTGTCTATGTATTTTTAATGTTTTCAAACTAAGATTGTAAAAATGTGTGAGGAGCTTTGTATTAAATTTTCAAGCTCTATGACCCAATGAATAACATTTTATTGAGATTTGTAGAAAAATCAACTAAACAATTTGAATGAAAATTTAAAATATCTGTAAACGGCTCAAAACGAGTCAAAATATTTTGACAATTTTATCAAGTGTAGAAATTGTTAAGATAAACATATTTTGTGAATTTCAACTATCTACGGCTATTCGTTTTTGGATTAAAACAAAAAGAGTAATTTTCTAAATGAAAAATTGAGTTAGATAATATACGCTCTTAAAAATTTAATTTGACTTTTTGGCAGACATTTTTTTGTTTTTTTCATAATATGATGTTAGAATTTATAGAATGCATTGTGAATCAAATTGTGATTACATTGTATATTATACACATTTGTGTAATAGCATATAAATATTTTATGTATATTAGCCATTACTTACCATCTTACCATGATGTCTATATTACAGCCATTTAAAAATATTTCGCGTCTCTTTCTAGTCTTTAGTCTTTATTTAGGTATGTACTTATCTATTTGAATGGCTTCGAACAAATACTAATTTATAACTGAAGTTGCGGAAATGAAATTAAGCACCTACATGCATGGCAACACTATTCCCAGGTACGTATATAGGAATATACAATATACCTCATAGAGAATGCACCACGTGTTCTAGAATATCGAGGGAGGAAAAATACAAATAATCATCATAACTCACAATACATATTATACTTGTAGATAAGTAGTAATATACCATTAGCATGGTAACGGTGTCTTCTGCGACATGTTTAGCGCACTGGTGTCGTAATATTGTATTATTACACCATTGTCGGACATTTGATTATGTATATTAAACAGTTTTTTTTGGGGGGGGGGGGAGAGGGAGGCAGGGTTGGACTTTTGAAGTTTCTGGATATTAAGTAACCTCAATCGATGGCCATCTATTGAAGCGATTGTAACAGTAAAATAATAGATACATAATAACAATATATAGTATAATATGTACGATCATAAAAAAGAACGATTTTATTAGTACAAAAATTGACCTCAAAGAAGTTTGTATTATTATTAAAAATAATATTTTTGTACAGAGTAAAATGAATGACACAATTCGACAGTAATAATAATTATCATATACGATATTATTTCAATAAAAAATAATAACTAAAAACGTAAGGATACAAATTGAAAAAATATTTTGTTTTGATCATATGAAATACACAGTTTTACATTAGCACTACGCATGATGTCTGAGACTTAAACAATTACAAAAAAAAAAAAGAAAAAAACACTGTACAACAATACATTTTAATATAAAGACTATAAAATAGTTATAGCCTATATTTTAAAAATATGTTTTTTTTTCAATGAACACAAATTATTTGATTACACATTAATATCAATAACAATATACAACATTAAATCCATAAGTTCTGTAACGCTCTGTCATATTATATATCCCACTTCCCCCCGGAAAATTACAAATGCAAATGAACACGATACTCGTTATATTATAAACGTAAGTATATTTTAAAAAAAACGTTTTATTTTGGAATGCTTTGCTGTCTTTGGGCTTTAAAAAAAATGTCACGAAAAACTGGAGATAAAATTTGAGTTCAGCAGTTATATATATGTAATATATTATCGCATTGTATGGAATGTAAATCGATTTTATCATTCTCCTTACACACAGGTTTGATTGCGGCCGAATGAGTACATAATATAATCAAAGCACAACCTTCCTCTCTATATATATATTATATAAAAAAAAAACAACTACCTAATGTCGTAATGATATGATTAGAGTTTAAAAAAAAAATATATATTAAAAATCGAGAAAAAAATTACAGACTTTCACGTGATAATAATATTATTTTAAATCGAACACTAAAATAATATATATACATTTTTTTTTAATATTTGCTCTTTAAGTTTATATAATCATCGTTTTCCTCGACACGTTTAAAAGGAACAATAATACAAAATAATAGTCTTAAAAATTATTCAATTTTTTTATATATACATACAAATATAGAAGTGATAAAAAAAAAACAACGTCCTTACGTATATAAAACGAAAAAACTTAATAAATTAAATGTTTGTTCATACGGAACACGCGATTAGAAAATATAGTCAATTATAAACATCCGGTTAGCGCCAAGGGCTCGACCAATGAAATATCTCAGTACACATATTACAATATTGTGTTATACAATATATACTATCAATATTTTTATGGCACAAACATTTTCATGCGGTTTTCTTATACATATATTGTGTATCGTATTATATAATAAGATATATACATCCCTCTGGTCTGATGTATCGATTACCATGTTAATTTTAGATTAAATATCATATATTATGATATAATATACATAGGCATACGTAAGACCGTGATATTAATCAATACAATACAATATTACGTATTATATACGAGTATATACCTACAAATAATAATGATTTATAATATATATTTTAATAATAAAATAAATTATTACAATTTTTTACACTGTACAAAATATGGGACGTTTACAACCAAAAATATTCGCAGATTTAAAACATGGTAGTGCAATAAAATTTCATATAAAAAAACGCAAGATTTTTTTGATTTTAAATTACAAAAGAAAAACACAACGTAAACGAATATAAACAAATTTTTTTTTATCACAAAGACGCCGCGAAATAACAATATTCTTGGTGGTTTTCATTACCGTCAGCAGTTTGGTAATTTATACATAAAAGTATTATTATTTCAATTTTTAACAAAAACTACGTTAAAATTGCACTAACCGATTATATTTTTTTTTATCATTTCCATTTTCCATCCTCAATCGAAATCGTTACCGAAACAAAACAAACTCACACCACATATTCTATTATATAGTAATAATATTAAACTTTCCTTAGTCGGCATCCACAGAGTTCTTTACTCCGCCATAATATTATATATATATTATTATTACATGTATTTACACACACGAATCGTCGAATAAGACGTTTATACGAAATACTTATTCGATTTGTTCCCAATTTTTTATTATTTTTTTTTTAAAGTAAGTTTTTTACACCTATCATTAATATATTATGTATACCAACGGTTTTACCTCAGATGACCGCGTCGGCGTTGTCATCGTCGTCGTTTTCCGTTTCAGTCGCATGTTCGGGAGAAGCGGTGGACGCTCGACCAGCGTTTGTTTCGTGTTCTGAATCGTCGTGCTGCTGGTGGCGATGTTCCTGTCCGTCCGGTGACTCAGGTCGTGGCTTCTCGTCATCGCTGTCCGCGGCCGAGTCCTGGCATGACGGCGGGGTGGCCGCTAAGTCTTCCATGTGGTGGTCACCGTCGTTTTCAGCACCGGCTACTCGTGGCGAACGGTCCGGACTGCAGTCATCGTCTCCACCGCTGCCTTCTCCACCTCCTCCCTTAACGGCGTTCTTGGCCGCCGCTTGGACGGCCGCCATAGCAGCCGCCGATTTGAGGCCTGTCTCCAAGCTGGACCTGATGATACCATCCAAGAAGCTGCCATTATCCGTTCCATCGTACAGGTTTTCGGCAACCTCACGAGCGTTCTTGCCGAGGCTGGCGATGGATGCGGCAGCAGCAGCCGCGGCCTGATGGTGTTGTAGCCGTGACTCGGCCTGGATCCGTTGCATCATCGACATTGGTGTGAACGCCGGATTCCGCTGGAAATCCATGGGCACATGGAACGGGCTGGGGGCCCAGAACGGGAACGACGGCTGATACGCGCCCACCGAACCCGTGGCATCGAACATTTTGAGCCCATTGGGCGTCTGGAGTGGCGACAGTTGTTGTTGAGCCGGAAACTGGACGTGTGCGGGGAGTTTGATGGCCGGTGGCGTGGCCGAAGATGAGGATGACGAGGTGGTAGTCATCTTTTCAGCTGGCCGAACGACCGAAGACGTAGACGACAGGTCGGACGACGACTTTTTTCGGTCCGCGTGATGATCGACGGAAACCGCAGCGGACACAGAGGACGAAGATGGAGGGTTCTTGGGCTCACGCTTCCTGGGTCGCATTAGATGTCTTTCTTTAACTTTGTACTCTAGCGTAGAGTGCGGCACGCCGTAATAAGAACCGGCCCGGTGTACGCTCATTTCTCCCCGTTGCACCGCTCGCACGGCTTCCACCAGGCTGTCCCTGTCGTAGTTTCGGTACTTACCGCGCTTGGGCCTGGTGCCCTTACCGCCAGCAGCCGCCGCAGCCGCAGCTGCAGCAGCCGCTGCTGCAGCTGAAGCCGAGTTGGATGATGATGATGACGAACCACCAGTGTGGAACCCAGCGCCGGTGGACGATGGTGTTACGACCGACGATGTTTTATTGGTGGGTGTCGGTACCCGTTTCCGGCAGTCGTCCTGCTGCAAATTGTTGTTGTTGTGGTTCCTGATGATGGGGTTGCCAGTACCGAACGAGGTGGGTATGCCATGCTGCTGTTGCTGTAGATGGTGATGGTGGTGCTGTTGTTGTTGGTTATGGTGGTGTTGCTGCTGGTACTGTTGGTAGGCCCGAGCAAACGACTCGACGGCTGGTATGGGCGGTGGAAGTGGGGGATCCGACTGGAACCTTTGTGTGATGCTCTTGGCGATCACGTCTTTCAGGTTGACTGGATGCTTGCCGCCAACACCACCACCGGATGACGACGGTGGTGACGACGTGTCACTCCGAACGCTGTTGGCCCTTCCCGGTGATCGAATGTCCCTGTTGCACGACATCAACTCGTAATCGCTACCCTTGCCACCGGGAACTGGCTTGTACGATGGTATTCTCAGGATGACGTTGGATGGGTTCGAGTCGTCATCGTTGCTGCGGACTGTGTCCATCGGTTCAGATGAATTGCAGCCGTTGGACGACCACCGCCTCGGGTCTGCCAAATTTTTTCCGTACTGATGCTGCAACTGCTGAAGCTGCTGCTGTTGCTCTTCGTCCAGTATTTTGCGCATCAAGTCCTTGACGGTGAAATCTTTGAGGTATTCATGCTGGTGGTGGGCCGCAGACATCTGCTGCTGCTGCTGCTGCTGTGGCGGCGGTGGTGGTGGCGGTGAACTGTCATGTGACGGCAACAAACGCGGTGACCCTAGTCCGGCCGAAGGTGACACTGCCGCCACAGACGAAGACAGTAACTGCGATAGATATGTTCCCATGTGTTGAGGGTCTAAGGCAGCAGCCGCGGCCGCGGCGGCAGCAGCCGCCGGCCACAGGTCAGCTGTCATGGGTAGCGGAAACCTGGTGGCGGTAGGGGTGGTGGATGGTGGTGATGGCGATCGGCCGTCCGCCATCGATACGTCACGGCCGCGGTAATGCGGTTCTGTTCTGTTTTGGAGCAGTTTGTTGTTGGCGTAGTGTTGCAGGAATAGTCTGAGCGTTTCGGCGTTGGGCATGGCCGCGGCCGCTTGTTGCTGTTGTTCCGCCGTGATCCGCAACAAGTCTTCGACGGTCATGTACGGCGACGCTGTCCTGGGCTGCTGGCCGCGGTGTTGCGGTGGTTGTTGATGGTGCGGCTGTGGCACGTGATGGCGGTCCTTGCTGTCCGCCGCCAATGCCGCCGCTGCCGCTGCTGCAGCTGCTGCAGCCGCCGCCGACTCTCTGCCTGTGCACTCATCCTCGCCCATGGACACCGTGTCCTTGTCTTCGTCGTCGTCATCCTCAAACGGCATCCTTAACGGCAACAGCCCGGTGACCGGTCCATTGGACGGGTCGTCTCCGCCCGTCGACGGATCCCTGATAACACCCACTCCTACACCGCTGCCACCACTGCTGTCCCGTTCGTGCGCCAACTTGTACACCTTGTTCCGCAACGTTGACCTGGGTATGCCGTATATGACGGCCGCACGTCTCGTGCCCAACTTGCCACTCTGGATGTCTCGAAGCGCCTTTTGCAGCTCATCCTCCGTGTAAGTCTTCCGGCCGGCCATGTGACTAGGCTGTTTCACCATCTTGGGCCTATAACATTTAAGCGAAAGGTTTTAGCAATGCAGAACACTTATCCAAACGGTTATTCACACATAAGCGTAGTATTATTTGTGTTAAAGTGTAGAAACTGTATAAGTTGGACTTTGAAGAGTTTAAAAATCTTTCTAGAGGATTGCACGGATAGTCCATTAAATCGTTATTAAATCTTAATTATTGTCCTATTATACGTGTGATGGTTTCAAATGTCTGACACTGTATAACACTCGCATGTTCCAAGAATGGTAAGCGTGTACCACGGATGGTACTCATATTAGACAGTCTCTTGACCGTTGCGCCTCACGTCTGTCACGATCGTACACGTAAACTCCCGTGGTAGTGTTTGACTAATCGTCGACAGTCATTCTTATAAGCGATTTAAGTACTGTGCAAAATTGAGGAGTATGAACTTAAAGGTTCAATGACGAGTGACGAGAGTACGAGCATGTATATAGTGTTATCAATTACGTATAGGAATTTAAATACCACTGAGCAGTTAACGTACAACCCATGTCTATAGAACCAGTAATTAGACGATGATGACTATAAACTCTAATTTCGTGTTCATATTACCTATGCATAATATATATGACGTGTTTACTGTGTACTCATTTACTTCACAATATAATATTATCTCGCGGTGAACGGATTAGACGATCACTGTGTTTATGGTACCTATATAGATGAAATATGAAAAATACGAAAAATAATCAACAGCACTCTAAATAAATTCGGATGAGAAGTAAGTATAGAAGCTATAGAAATTCCAAAATTAGTTTTCTCGGTTTACCGAATAATATATTTCACACAATCATCAATAATGTAATTCCTACCGAGGTAGTCATTTAACCAAATGTTCTGATTCAAGTGAAAAGTAGTAAAGTACACTAAATGCATCTAACGAACTCGGACACCTGTACGCCACACACTCCATGTACTTTGTACATATTATGTTCACGCACTCTGACACTCGTAAAACCGTAACAAGTACTTATTACGGGCATAAATCACTTTTAAGGCATACGCATACGCATTTACATGTACAACACCAACATAAAGCTACTACAACGTGCGGCCACGTGCAGTATAACAACAACAACGATAATGATTGCAATATGTAACTATGCAATAATTGCCAGCCGGAATGAATTTTTTTCGCCAATCCGTAAGGAAAAAAATCGGCAAAGCGAATCACGATAAAAAAAACACGTTTCGTTAAATCGATCGAACGGAACGCTGCAGTGAACGGTCAAATACAGCTAAAATGGATTTTTTAGTGTTCGTTTAAAATCTTATCGAGTTTTGAGATAGTCTAGCCCATGTGTTGCTGCGGCGTACATATCATGGAACATCTAGAACAAGACTGCCAACATTTCAAAAAGTGTAAAAGGGAGCAAGTCTATATTTTTCGGAGAGCCGTTCATAATATTTTAAAAAGTCACATTGTATATAGCAAATACATGGCTGTAAGTATTTAAGTTTTTAGTTTAAAATGCATATAGATGAAGAACTCTTCGTGTTTATATCTTTATTTTAAACTTCAAATCGTTTTTAATCAAAACTTTATATTTTTAGTTGTTGCAGTCCTGCAGTTGTATAAGAAGTGCGAATCAAAATAATATGTAATATTATAATTAACAAGTAGTAACCATGTTATACGACAAAATGATATATTACTACATTCAAATTTTAAAGTCCAAACGGCCACTCACTTGAATATGTTTCGGTTGTTGTTGGTGAGTATGGGCACATTGAGCGGTTGGTGCGGTAGGAACGTGGACGAGGACGGGCCCGGTAACAGGTCACGCAGCCGGTTAACCATGTCTGTGGCGATGAGATCTGACGTGAACTGGTGAATGGTGACGTCGGCGGCGTCGGTGGCGGGCACGTTTTTCAGCTCGGACGACGACGGCGTAGACGACAGGCTTGGGCACGACGGCGTGGACGACGCGGGCGACGACGAAGCGTTGCCGCCCGGACCGCTGACGCTGTTGTTGTTATTGTTGCTCTTGGCGCTGAGATCGAGCGGTTGATCGAGCGACTGGTGTTGTTGTTGCTGTTGATGGTGACGGTGGGCGGGTGGCGACCTGCTGTTAGTGGCCGCCGTGGTCGCGGCCGCGGCTGCGGCTGCTGCTGCTGCCGCGGCGGCTGTCGTCTCTTGCAGTCTCAGCGTGGCGGCGGCCAACAGCCATTTCGGCAGGCCGGCGGCCGCGGATTCCAGCGCGCTGGGCGACGGTGGCCCGCCCGCCGGTGTCATCGTCGCCGTGGACGATGACGACGACGAGTTGTTCAGAGACGCGACCGCGGCCATTGCGGCGGCGGCGGCGGCCGTGGGGTTGGGCAGCAACAGCAGTGGTGGTGGTGGCGGCGACCGGTCATCGGCGCGACACGGCTCTGATGCCGCCGGGGGCGGTGTGGAAGACGACCGCCTGCCCGGTTCCGGTTCCGGACTCTCTGCGCTGCGACTGCCGCCGCTCAAGCTTCCCGTTTCAGACGATGGCTCCTGCGAACACGGCACATGATATTTTAAGTATATAGTATTACAGACAGTTATAAATTTACTGACATATAAATATTTTTTAAGACAGTTGCTGAATTGCCCTGCTTTGCCCGAGTACAGTTTTGAAAAAAAATAGTACCACCTATTTTATTTGACTACCTGATATTATATTTATGATTTAATTATTCTTTATATACTTTTTTAATATTACTTCGTAATTTGTAATTTGCACATCATTTTTTATCATACCCTGAAATACATCTCTATTGTTTCTAGAACGATGCTTCGAAACACGGTGTTTTGCCCATAAAAAATTTTCATGAAAGACTGAGTAGACTTATATTTTTTAGTTGTACACCATTTTCCCACTTATGTAGTAGTAATGTAAACTGTGATCAATTTATTGCAATAATTTGTATAAACAAAAAAGCATTCTATTTTTAACCATCCAAAACTAATGTCATGTGTTAGCCACTCTATTGCAACCTATAAATAACGAACAAAGTAAAGTTTGTTTGCTATATGTATATAATACATACAGATGAGCAGTATTTAATAATAGTATGATAATTATTAATTATACATTTTGGCAAAATAAATTATCAATATAGGTCAAGCCAATGAAGTGAATTTACCTCAAAATTATTATCGACCGTTGTAAATAAAACGTCGCCAACATGACACTGTCTTAGAATTTTGCAAGTGTGTGTATGTGTGTGTTTTGAAGGTAGTATGGGGATAGGTGACGTCTGTAACACGGACTAGTGCAATATTTTATGTTTGTTTTTACATTATCAATAAAATACCGACCGAAAACTGTGTTAAAACTTTTCTTATAATCGTTTTCCGTTCTACTCTTATAACAGAATCACCTCTATAATAATCATCAATATTATCATAGTCAATGATTTCTTATGACTAATTACAACTAAGGAATGAAATAATTTGAATACATCTGCTTTATACGGCCTGAAGACTACATAATATTATGTTCTTCTTAAAAAAAGTTAGATTTTTCTAGTTGGAAGATTAAAATAATGTTTTAAATAAATAATTTTTTTAACAGTATTGCATTATAAGTATGCAGCCGTTAACTGCAACGCACTTGCATAAACAGTACACCGTTCGTATCGTTGCGACAGATTTTCAACAACGGTCGTACTGAGGAATGCATTACCCCTCGGCCACCGCGGTGATGTATTGCAATTTTCCAATAAATAGTATATTATTTTATCCCTACAGGTTTAAAATGCCTACCATAAATACACTACCGAAAGGTTGGGAATGTTTAAATGCTCCAGGAAAATGATACCTCTCCTGGGGGCTACAAAATGCCTAGGATACATTGCACTGCAGGCATTATGAAAAAACTGGACAGCTTTTGCTTTAGACCTTCGACGCATACGATAAGAATCTAAAATGAATCCGGTGAAATTGCTCGCCGATTAGTTTTTATCACGATTAAGCGAATCGATTATAATAATAATATTATTTTATTTTATAAATGACTATCCACACCACGCTGTACATACGTGCAACAATAACAATAATAATAATAATAATACCGCAAAACCATATAAATGTACACTATTATAGGAAATGCCAAATCGGGCGATCGGAAGCAGGTACCTAACCTATACGCACCGCCACTCGTGATAATAATAGCATATTGTTTCAGGGATAAATAATTTATATTATTACCACGCACGAGCGAAACTTTTCCAACGAGTCACGATTCACTTCCGTGATACAAATTCGGTCAAAAGTTTGGAGTATAAAATATGCTGCATGACAAATTGCGATAGCTGCACGTTAAAATCGACACACAATAGTATGCCCGCGAATCGGAAGAGAGACCCTGCTGCACTTTATGATACAGCTGCAGTTAGTGCTACACTTTCTGTGACAAAAATAATAATATGCTTAAAAAATTGTCATCGACTATTGCAGAGCTGTACTCGAATTGGATATGAATAAAACTAATAATTTAGCCCATATAACACGCGAGTATACTTAATACATAATATTATATTATAACAATTTAATCAGTTAAGTTTTTTTTTTTCATTCAAATATATACTAAAACAATACGTATAACACAATAGATATAGGTACCTACACATTTTTCGTTGAAATAATAATACTCCAATAGCATACTTGAAACCTAATAAAGAATATAATTGTATTTGTATGTGCTCTCCAAAAGTAATTATTTAGCTATAATTGTATTATAAATCAATTTATATTCTTGAAATAATAAAATGAATGTAACATGATATAGAAATAAATCTCGATAATAAAAAAATTCTTGAAATGTCAAATGGTTCTTTTTCTTTGATGATTTACGCAATTATGTCAGTGTATCTATCAAATGATTGTATTAAAAAAGAACTGTATTTTTGCTAAATATTGTGTCATTGATTTATACTTTAGTAGAGTTAGATGTAGTGGTGTACTTTTCTTAAACGTTTTATAAATTATTTACGTTAATACTGTTTAATAAAAGATTTATAAGAAAAAATTAAATATATTGGTAGTCAAACGAAATAAAAGCTTTATCTAATGGTTAAAAAATGTTTTTAACTCTAAATGAAAAATTTTCAGTAAGAATATTAAGTTGATTGAATAATGTACTTTTCTCAATAAATGTGTGCCTCTAATTATATAAATATACCAGGCTGATTATGTTGAAGTATATTATATTTATAAGTAGGTAACTATTAAGTGTTAACTACCCATATACTTAGGCACAATGTAATTATTACTCAAATTTTAAGCAAAACCAGTACAATGAACGTGTTTAATAGAATGTTTATGATACATAAATAACATAATAATTAATAAGGTAGAATTTTACAGGTAGAAGTACACACCCTAGTAGCCCCAACTCACTGTAAGATTATAATACATTAATTATAATGTTTTCCTTGATAATTACAATTTCCGTAATTTGTATAGGTGTACATAATATTATGTTCTCGTTACTTTCGCTTTTAACGCACACGTTTAAAACCATTGGCCCATTTAGCACAATATCGAATTTAATATTATGGAGTATTTTATGTATACATTTGAATAAATTAATAATTATATTGATAATTGAAGTATACCGTATTTCTTTTAGATTACCTGCAGCTGCACACTTGCTGGTATACGTAAGTTACGGCCCCGTGATTTTCAATTATGCAAATAATAGTATTAATTGAATACTTTACATGTAATATTAATATTATTCATAAGGACCAAAATATACTTTGATACATCATCATATGAATGTGCATTATATTGATGTCTATATATATATATACCGAAACTGAATTTGTATAAGTATAATATGAACAACATTTGTGCATTATAATTATATATTGAACTACCTACATTAAATAGATCAAATAATGCGACATAATGCCAATAATAGATCGGATGTCCAAATTAGTAACTATAAAATTTTCTGTAGTAGATTCTTATAAAATCCGTGAATCACTAATCAAAAATACGACACTAAACAAATAATATTTAAATATAAAAAAAATCAACGATTGCTAATTAATTATAAAAATACGTAGACACTCAAGATTACAGAGATTGACAATATTTATCATAATTTAATTGGGTTGAGTTTTGGCATATTATATCATATTATATTAATATTACAACCTACAGTATACTCACATAAATTATTTGGCGTTGAGGTATTAATAATAGTAATAATAATGCTCTAAAAATAGAAGTACAGGTGCGTACTTACATATTATTATGTATTTCTACATATTCTATACTTAACAGTAGCTAATTGTAGTTTGTATAATGATTTTCAGTAATTTGCATTATTATTATTATATTATAATCATACTATACAGCAGGGGTCGGGAACCTGCGGCTCTTTGGAAAATTCAAACTCATATTAAATAGATACTTTTTTGTGTTATTGTATTTAATGAAATAATATTATATTTGTATAAAAAAGAATAATAGTAATAATAATGAATTAATCGAACAAAGTTTTTCTATATTTTTTAAATTTTAGACGTATCATTATGTTTTTAATGACTACCAATTTTTCAAAGAAATAATAATATCTTTATTCTAATTATTGTATAATATATTGCCTATACCAGTGGTTCTTAACCCGTGTTTCGTGGACTTGGTATAAGTGTTCTCCCCCCAAAAAAATGTTTAGTTTCATTGTCTTAACATTTTACTTTTTATGGACACAAAAGTATAAGACGTGTATAACAATATACTGTATAGTTTATTGGTTTAATTATTCAAAAAAAAAGTAGACTGCATGTTTCTTTCAGTTAAAAATAACAAAGAAATAATTCATATTAAAGCAGAACATTTAGTAATATTAAAAGAAAAAATCATGATAGACTCTATACTAACAACTACAACTAAAAAAAAGGTTGTTCAAACCTGTGCGGCTCCCTGGACATGATGGTTTTGTAATTTTTCGAAAAAATGGCTCTTTCTTACGAAAAGGTTCCCGACCCCTAATATAGCCTAATCCACAAAAAGTCTGTTAAATCCAGGATACACCAAGCATAGGTATATAATAATATATTTTATGGTCGTACAGTAAACTATACTTGTGTCGTGTGTTTATAGTGTTTACAATATTGCAGGCGTGCGCAATGCAAAAGCTCGTTGTTTTATTTTAGATTAATAATGCGAATCGAATTAACGAGAGCGTGATTTTTCTTTAACATGACATCCGATTGTCGGCACACGCGTTAGGTATGATATTATATATTATATACAATTTATGCGAATAGAAAAAAAAACGAATAAAAATATCGCGAGACGTTTTCTTTTGTTACACATTATTCCGGTGTTTTACGATTTATGAATAAAAAAAAAACGACCATGAATAATAATAATTTCTAGGGAGCACCTAACCTCCTGTAAGAGGTTAAAAGCAAATGAATAAAATGGTATATACGTATGACGACCACGCGAAATGTAGGTCATTTGGAAACGATGACAAGTGGACTCGATCATATATTATATACGTACGCGGGCTGCAGCCATTTAAAAGGTAAACGTCCCACTGAAAAACTTCGCGAGCTCCCGCACGTTGCAGTTTTACGACAACAACAATAATAATATTGTACAATTCGCGCAAGCAGCGTTGCACATTGTTCTTAATTTCGTCGGCGAATTCAAAATTAGGTACACTATTTAACCGCTGTATATAGTCACATATAGTTAAAACTACGCATTGATGTACTGAATTGTATTCATATGATATTATGTGTTACATAATAAACTATACATTTTACTCCGTTTCAGTATTGTATTCGCAATATGTCTTTTTCCGGGGGTATCGAACCGTGTTAATAGAAATAAAAATCAATATCTAATATAACTTCAACATAAGTTACTGTAAAAAAATAACTAAGCGAATATTAATTATACCAATTTATTCCAAAGTGAAAATCGGAAAAAAATCATTAACTATTACTGTCTTGGTATAGTAAAATTATTATCGATAGAATATTTTTATAATTATATTACCCAAGTATATTAATAATAATTTATATTATAATATTGCTATTTCTATACTCATTACTCATATTCACATTTTGGGTATTAATTTAATGAGTTCGACGCATTAAGCAACACATAGATATACGATGAGCTGTCACTGATATGAAGTATACCTATTATACAATTAAGATACAGAAACTAAAGAACTCCATAATTTTAAATTAATAATGTATGAGTAGTAAGTTATTATAGTCATTACTACCTATCAACAATTAATACTACACTTGCCAGTTAAGGTGGTGAATGGTGTCACGGTGATGTGTCAAAAGGCTGTTATGAATAGGTACTGGTTTAAAATAATGAAAATAAAATAAAATATATGAATTTTAATTTGTTAAGCTTATTTAAATACTCACTAAACGTGGTTATTAAATGTTTAAGTAACAAGTTCCAATGCTTTAAGTGTTGCTTTCATTTCATTACCTACCGATAATGCCAGTTATTATTGCCAATTTTCATAAAATACAGTCACAATAGGTATTACAATCGGACTTGGTTAAGCCGAACCTTTTTAACTCAAAATCAACCTCGAACCTTTTTCCTGAACTTTTTGACCGGTCTATTTAACTTTGAGTTAACCAAGTCCGGCTGTATATTATACTTGTATTTAACTCACCTGGGATTCTAAAATTAAATAATATCAGATATATAATAGGTATATTTGCATAATTTACCAGTTCTGAAGGTGAGTGATCCGCTACGCTTAGGTCTGTGTTCACATCACACGAGTTACACGTTTTGACGGGAACCCATTCTCTCCGGTCCATCAATTCCTCTTCCAGTAAATAATTTTTCGCCAAAATGTCTTGATACTGGTGCCATTTTCTTCTTCCCATTAACTCTTCAGCGATCCTTTCCAACCCTGTAAACATAACGAACGGAGACGTTACTCACAATGGCTGCGGTAATAAAAAATAACGATGTATTATATTATAATAAGCGACGACGACGGTCTGCGTGTCGTGTGCAACGAAAAACGTATTGCACTAGTAAAAATATGCATATAATATAATATGTTATAATACCTATGAGCTCAGCAGCGACAAACTAGAATTTCCAGAAATAAAATCGGAGCGCATACGAAATTGTAATACTGCACTGTTAGATACGACCTATATTTAAGATTTAGACACCAGATATGTATATTGTGTATCTACGCTGTAACACCACGCACGCATACACTAGCTGCGCGTCATAATATTATGTTTTACCTATATTATAATATGTATATGCAGTGTACAATTTCAGGATTGTTTTCGACTGATTTGGTCCACGAATTGTATATATTTACTGTTTAAAAAAAAAAAATATAATACAACACTATGAATCCGGTTTCATATCATATACAAATGATAATCGTATATTCGACGAAAAGAAATTGTTTTATCGACAGTACCAAATAATAATAATTAGTCATGACAAACAAAATTATATGATTGATTATTAATTTTTGAGTAACTACAAGATCTACGTCTACAATATAATATTTACTACACATTAACATTATAATATTTTAAACGCAATATCAAAATAACCGTTATGCGATATTGCAATTTTTTCTAGGTACTGATACTTATACGATTCTGTTTGGTCGTTCTAATCCAATATACCTACCTATGCTTATCCTATTGCTAAATACACCTGCTTATCGACCATATTTCAACGTCTATACCTGCAAAGACGTTGAATGGATTATAATTTATTTATTTTTTGTACTGGCTATATCGTATATTATTATCTGATTAAATGTAAATATCTCACTATATTACATTACAGACATAATATACAGGAAAATCCAACAATATAGTGCAGCAGTTAATAATATGCCATCTGTACACTATCTAATATATCTATTAGCTGTACGTATATATAACATGCGTATACATGAATACACGATTACAGAACATAATATGATAATGATTTAAATTTTTAGTTTTATCGCACAGCAGATTATTAAATTGTATAATTTTCAGAGCTGCAGATTATTCTGATCAACGAAATGCTGAAAGGATATATTATTATTGCATTATCTTCGAAAAGAAGTAGGTATTTGTTAAAATTTCCACACGAGATTATAAACGCATTCCATCATAATAATATGAGTAATTTGAGTTTACTATATTTTATTTTTAATTCAATTTGCTATCTTCGTGGTGTGTATGCATTTGTCTGTGGTAGAAAGAGAGAGAGAGAGAGAGATGCTGCTGTCTAAATAGTCCAAATTTACATAATATTTAAACAAGTAAACAGGAAATATTATATGTGGCGTGTGTTGCGTTACCATAATACTTACAGGAAAATAAACTGCTATAACTATAATTTAGTTATATGCATAAACTTCAAAACAAATATCAGACTGTGGCATCAAATGTATATTTAAGCACTTTGCCAGGGACTGCACATATTAAATGCATCGTAGCCAATTATTGTATTTTACTTACAAGAAATAAGAATATATTATAACTACATTCTAAATCATCCACTGTTACTCCGTGTTAAGACCACTATATATTTTTATGCTCGATTTTAAGAAGTTTTTTGTTTGTTTGTAATTCATAATTATTATTATATTGCTGAATATGTCATGCGTGGGACCGACGCGTTTAAGAAATTGAAGTATAAACGAACGTTGAAAATAAGAATTATATATTATACTAAACTATAAACTAATCTGATATGAAATCGCGCCAAAGTTGGCAATGCTCAAATGCAATCAATTTTCCAAGTTTAATCTATACGTTGGATACCTATACCGCACCTTACACATTTAACCAGATGATTGTTCGCCATCGATGCTGCAGCTATTAGTTTAAATTGACTTATTTATTTATTATAAATTAACACAATATCAGTTTAGATCATTATACGCATATACATTATAGTCAGATATACATCACACACAGATATTATAGGTACCTCTACAACAGTGAATAATATACAACTCAATTGGAGGTGACTATAATAACATAATAATAATATGTATTATTTATTTACTGTGTTAAATTTATATTGTAATCAATATTATAGTATAATCACATACCACGCGTATAAAATAAATTAAAATTTTTAATGTTATTTAGAATTCTTCAATAAAATTTAACGAGGAAAATAATTTGTTATACTACGGGTTTGGTTATGGCAGGTGATAAAATTGGTGGAACCAAATGAGTAAGAAGTCAAACCGTGTTCAAACAAAAAAATTGTGTGAAAAACCCAGAATAAAAATCTATTTATTATTTCTATCTAATTAGGTATATAGATTATAGGTACCTAGGTAGGTAATTATATTTATTTTACGAACTAAAAACAATCTCTAATGTTTAAACTTTAGAATCTAATGTGTAAATATTATTATATATAATATATACCAATTATGTATACACAACTTGATGATAGGTAAAATAGTATAATATCAATATATAATATAGCCAACTAGAAAAATCATTCACACGTGGATGAGAAACACGTGTGATTGTTTTCGCATTGAGCCCGAAACATCCAAATGTTTTTTTCAACAAATGACCATGTTTCATCGAATTCAGGAATAATCTGTGTTACCGGATTCTCATTATATCATATTATGTATTTTATTATTATTGATCTATTTGTGAAACGTGTACCGTGTATACGTATTAAATAGAAAAAATATTTGATTTGAATTTTTCTCTGTGCAAACACATTTCAAAAATGTTGTCGTAAATTCTACATGTTGTAAAAACGTTGGGTCAATTTTGGTGTAAGTTGACTACAGTCGCTTGCATACGAGACTGGGTACTCGTGCCCATAATAAAGACCACGATAATATTATATCTGTAATTAACTATTATACGGACATGTTTGCGTTTTATGTGGCGACGGATTTTCAAAGTTTATCTATTTATAAAAAATAATTAATATATTATGCGTACATATAAAGGTACCGTCAATATATTGAATTTATACAAGTGGTTTGTCTGCGGACGGACGTCCCGTCGATGTTTCCATATAATATTATATAAATACAATATAATAGTAATGTAATCATCATTATACTATATTTAACTCGGGGACGGGGGAAACAACATGATTATGAAAGGCGTGTCGTGTGATCGTCGAATGTCGGTCAATTTCATACCCTGCCCACCATCTTCTCCACGATGGCTGCATGCACACTGCACTGCCTGATATTTATAAAGGATATGTATATATATATAGGCTTATATCACCTCTACGGTTGTACATATACATTTATTATTAGATATATTACGTGTGCCATATCGTAGCCATCGAATTCGCGCGTGTTCGGGCGGTAGACAGGTATGAATGTAAAAAAAAAAAAGAAAAATAGAAAGGAATTGATGACATTCCGTTTACGTTTAATGATATTCAATTAAAAAACTCGGCGGCGGCGCCGGCGGAATGGACGTCGGCGGCGCGCTCGATACGCGCACGAGCAGAGATACGCTAGGCCTATATAACATAATAATATATTTTTAATACTATTTCTATTATTATTATGTGTACAAGAAAACCGGGACCATGACGACGACCATTTTGAAAATGAGGCGGTGCGTTTGTCGCTCAGTGTAGACCGGTTCACCATCGATTGGTCAAATCCGATTCAAGCCTATATACGCGCACATTATATATGTATTGGTACCTGTGTTTACCTGTTTCGGCCGAGGCGGCATTTCAAATATATACATATATATATATATATATATGTATATATATATAAATATAAGTGTGCGTGTGTGCCTATATTTGTGCAAGTTACCCGAGGTACTTATGTATTTATTATATAGGAATTATGTATGTAGGCACTGGGCAGGTACCTACCCGACAACGCGTATATACCGACTTCGGTGACCCCAAATAGAATCGGACGAGACGGCGATTGAAGGTATTGCTCCTCCCCTCCTTTACTCATAACACAACAGTGTTGCGTTTATAGGACACTTATATAATGCTATATATTCACAAACGAAGTAAATAGGAGGTGCCTGCACGTATATAAGGTATATAGGTAATACAATAATATACTGCGACAAGCTGTGACTATAGTATATGTATATATACAGCTGCAGCAGCGTCCGAGGAACCCACAACCGGTGCCTCATTGCGTGAGAAAATGGGGGAAAATATATATGATGTTATCCGCGACGGTCGATCGATGCATTATTATATGCGTATAGGGAAAAAACTGGTTTTTTTTACTCCGTGTGTTCAATTGACAGCCAAGGATTAATGTAAAAGCCAAACGCCGAACACAATCGCCGTTCGTCTAAAAATGCCTAAAACGAACATGGAAAACGCGTAGGTACTTAAAATGTGTTATGCGCTTGTGCGTATATAGATACCTATAATATACTATACATATACGCTATATTATAATAGTACAATCTCGCGATTCAATCGTTTCGTTTCAGACCTTCTGTCCTGACTGCTCTGCGGCTTGTGAAAACTCGTCGATCGACTGCGCGATTACGTGCTGCTGCTGCTACAACGCGTAATATATTATAACGTGCGATAGGACAAGGCGGTCGAATTTAGTGCAGCTATGGATAGGCACGCACATAGATATAACATACTGCAGTACATTCTGTGGGCGGCAAATAAGGTCCAAAATTCTAAAAGACCGGCCTAGGGCTTTGGAGCTAGTGAAAAACGTCGATATTACTCATCAATAGTTATACATCCGTAATGATCTTATAAGGATACAAATATCTTCCTTCCGACGAAAACGACCTTAGTATTCATAACATATACCTAGGTAGATACTGCAGTTTCTATATATATTGTATAAAGTTATAAGTAAGTATATCTCCCCGAGGTATACAAAAAAAATACAAATCAATATAGATTATTAACATGTACTTTTGT